CTCTTGTAGTACCTATATATGTAATTTCAAAGCAATGGACTTGTGGTTTTTAACAAGAAGTCAAAAATATCACTTTTTACCAATAATTACAAAAATATTCACTTAAATTAGAGAATTAGAGATATCATCACGAAATGAACAAATCTGAGAGAGGTTCACATGTAATATCTATATATGTAATATCAAAGCAATTGGACTTGTGGTTTTTAACAAGAAGTCGAAAATATCACTTTTTACCAAAAAATACTAAAATATTCACCAAAAATAGAGAATTTGAGATTTTGACATGAAATGAACAAATCTGAGAAAGAACCATCCAAGGTACTTGCATATCAAATTTGAAAACATTCTGACTTACGGTTTTGAAGAAGTTGAAATTGTAAAGTTAACGACGATGGACATCGATGACGGCCGACAACGGACAATCAGTAATATGAACAGTTCCGTTGTGTCGACGTTGTCGACAGCGGAGCTAAAAAAAACTCCAGCAGGAGATAAGAACATACACAGGCTTAATGTTAGGGTGTTTATGCTTTACACATGCCAACAGTACCTAGACAGATGGAAACGGAAATTTTGATTGACCAAAATTTATTTTCCAGCTATTTACATGCACATCTCAAAATGTTTATTCATTTTTTATTTAAAGTAATTTTGGCTTTAATAAATTACCAAATATCAAAAAGAAATAAAACAGTTTTCACAAATATACCAAATTCAATGGGGAAAAAAAAGAGTCAGCAGGCATTGTGTTAAAATATAATGAACCAATCTAAATGCAGAGATCACTACAAGGTATATACCTACCAAACATCCGACAAATCTTAATTGCAGGTTTTTAGAAATCAAAAATAACTAAAATATTCGCCATTAAAAACTAAAAACGCAAAGGTTCATGGGTAGAGTTTGTTTGTAAACAATGACACACTATAGCCATCTACCGCATGGACAGATAATGACTCCTTTGCTTTACGTAAAAAAAAATAGACTGCTTCTGTAAAATATAGGGCAAAGCATAAACAATTCCATAAGTCAAATCAATTATTCTTACCTGTGTAATTACCACAGGTATTTCCAGCAGGTTTTAGAAGACTACTGCCATTAGTAGATGTCAAACCAAGATACTTTGATGAAACACACGTGTCATTCACCTGAGGAAATGTTCAACAGAATACTTTTGAAATAGTTGATACATTTGTTTTGACATAGGTCACTCAGTGGCTATACATTATATAACAGTTTAACATAGTTATGCAAATAGTATTATGCCCAACTTATTAAAATATTATTATTATACATACCAAACAACAGAGATGGCAGAAAGTAGTATAATCATCAACACATAGACAGTCTTCTAAACCCAAATCATAGCAAGCTGTTAAAGTGCATTCTCCATCAAAGCATCTACCATGATCATTACAAGTAGTACCATTAGGGCGGAAACTATGAACAGGACAGTCAGCATCTATGCCAGTAAATACACTAAGGAACAATATTATAAGTAGGTATGAAACTTTTGAGAGTCATAGAAACAATACACACTATATGTTTCATCTAACAAACCGTGTGTTCAATATAGACTGAACTAGCTACAAGCTATTATCCTATCCTCATTCCGGGTTTCCACTATGGATGAAGTAGTTTTAAACCATGGTGATCACTACTACATTGTTTTCCCTGCCAATTACCAACTTGTTTAGCCACTTCATGAACAGGGGGAAAATTTCATTATAAACAATAACAATATAACGAGTAATGTACAGCAAATTGAAATATGCTACAGTAATATATACACTTATATTAAGCTACGTTTTCTTGAGGTTTAATCTACCTTTCTGTGAGCAATCGCATGTTTATTAAACGATGACTATTTTCTAGAGTATATCTATGGTTGAAATTAGCCATTGGTGAAAAAAGTGACGCAACTTGTTTAGCCATTCGCCATCAGTGACTGGCAAAAGATTGAACGTAGGCCATTTCGCTTGTCTTGCTTTCATACTATAATTGATGACTAAATATATGATTTAATAATACGATGAAAAATAATTATTATAATATGCTAGTCATCAAGACTAAAAGGATATTTGCAGTATGATGAACTGGTACAGTCAGTCTCCGCTTTACACATATAATTGTCTTCTTCTTGTATTATAGCACAGTTTTCAGAGCAACAGGGAGATTGTCTGGTACTAAAAGAAAATGATGGGATGTTCACTTAACTAGTGGGCTCAGCTGCATTTTGCATAACCCCGTGCCTGCCCTGTCATTTAAACATGAATGAATCCCCACAGCCCCTATATTATCAGACATTATCACAGTTCAATTTGGGGTTTTTTGTTGTTGAAATGAATTTACATGCAAATGGAGATTTTCATTACCGTGTGATAATTTAAAGCCAAGACATTATTTTAGTAATTTTTAGATAGTAATGCTTTATAACACACATATTCCCTAAATATAACTATATGAGAAAAATATGTCACCCCAGTATCATCAACATATGAATAACTTATCAATCAGTCATAATTAACTGACTAACGGTAGTTAACCCCAGATTCAAAAGGTTTGCAACATAAAACAACCCTTATTTGAATGCCATAACTTTCTAAATCTTGCTAACAGTTACCAATTACTGTAAAGCATGTTTGTCTCACTGAACTTTTCAAAAAAATTTGCTTAAAGACATGAACTCTATCTAATGAAACTTCTACCATGGGAAGCTTTTTTTCAATGGGGGAATACCAGGAATTGAAAAAAAAAAGCTCCTCAAAGTAAAAGGTGTGAGACTGAGGTTTTTACTGACGGGCATTATAACAAGAAGGAAAATTTTTTTGGATTTTACAAGGTTCGACATTACCTGCAATTAACACCAAGCTCTCTTCTAAGTGTACATTCCAGATCAGTGCCAGCACCACCAAGAGGTGTACAACAACTATCTGTATATATACACTCAGCAGATGTTCCACAGTCGCATTCCTCTCCTTCTTCTACAATTCTATTTCCACACTGAGGACCATTGTAAACTAACAAGATATTCAATAAATGAAATAACATTCCTTCAGGTGATGTGAGAGATTAATATACAGACTTAATTGACAAGGTTTTGTTCATGCTTATTTCACAGATGGCTAAATATGCTAACTTTGGGGGCAGAGCAGAAGGCAAAATTATACATTGTGTTTGTCATACTTTTATTTATTATGGACCCATGTCATCAGGATATCAAACATTAAAATCAAATAAATAAATAGCTCCAGTG